AGAATTCAGTTTTCTGCTACTTTCATCCAGCGAACTTCTTCAGCACACCCTGCCGTCAATCTGAAGGTCTTCCTACGAAACGTGTATTCCCTCTTTGAACTCAGTTAAGTGTCTCTAGTTGAACGATGGTCAGTTCTTTTGTCAACTTGCTCTGCCCAATTGCCACCTTATCTTCTTCACTCGAGCAGCCATGTGTTGCTATCCATTCATTTGTCTTTCTGTCTCTCTCCTGTTATTCCCTGCATACGACTTTTCATGCTAGATTGCGTTGTCTGCAGTTTATGAATAGCTTTCACGCGTAGGGTCCGCGTTTCCACAGGTTAGCATTGGGAGCACACACTGACCGAAAAATTTCCGTTTCATTTCGAAATGCAGTTTTCCCGATAAGAGGATTTTCAATCTTTGCAAAGTATTGTGCTATTTTTATTCTTCTGATAACGTCTCAGTCGGTTGTCCGTTTCAGAGGTGACTTGTGCCAGACAGACGTCGTTATGCACTCGTCAGGTATAAGACCACTGACTTTAACGAGGGATCACGTGATCACGTGTTTGTTAATGATCGATGTTTAAGGATCACGTGTTTGTTAACTATGGCATGAGTCTTCTTCAGTCTCACATTGATGCTGGATTTTTTTGTCTCCTGAATTCTTCTTTGGGCTTCTGGTGTCATTGAGAAGATCAGAATGTGGTAGCAAACAGTAGGTCTTTTAGGTAATACCCATTTCTGTTCGGTTCCTGATTTTTCCTCGAGTGCCTTCAAAATCTCTTCTGCGGTTGCTATGAATAACTTGTGATATTTGGTTTCCCTGTCGAACGCCTTTTTCGATTTTGAAATTGTTAGTGCTTTCGTCAAGCTTCGCAGAAGCGGCTGCATTCTCATTCCGCATGGCTCCTCCAAGAATCCAGTGTGAAACGGATGTACGCTCATTGAAGGAACCTTCTCGAAGTCAACGAATATAGGGATGATGCTCATTTACGTTGCTTGTTTCAGTTACTTATTTTGTCATTTGAAAAGAATCAGTCGTACTAAATCCATTTGTGAATCGTGCTTGCCCCTTTCGTTTTGCAGAGTCCAGTATCAAAATTACATTCGGTTATAAGTGCATGTACGGTCTTTGTGGGTCACCAGTTCGGAAGTAAAGTCATGTGGGATACATACAGTACTGCCGGCATCCAAATGCCATTGAATCGTGGCCTACTTAAATGCCCCCCTGAGATGTATCAGCAGAGTCATTGCAGTGAAATTCAGCATTGTCGAATGGGCTGTAGCCTGTTGACATGTAGTGATTTGTGCGTAGGCGTTATTGTAAGGGATAATTTACTGTATATAGCAAAAGGTCTGTTTCTTCACGGAAGTTTGGTTCAACTGCAAATAGAAATTGCATAACGGCTTAGGCTTCATCTAGGTAGGATAATAGCAGACGAGTGATTAAGATACAGCGGAGACATCTTAGAACACGCGGATCAAGAGTAGTGTGCGAGATTTCGCTAAACAGTATCTGTCTTTTTATTTCGCACAAGCACTGTGGCGACCACTGTACGGAAATTTGAGCAGTTTCTCAAAAGTGTTTTGAACGTATATCTGTAACTGTGATATTGCACAAATTTTCCTCACAGTGGTTTTGAGTCGTAGCAAAACAATTACATGTTTACGTGGATGTTCAGCTTCAATTTACTTGGTCAGGTACAAACGTATTACTGAACGACAGCGCGGGAAAATTTAGCAGGTAGACCATGACAGAACGTAATGGTTTCAGTGACCGTTGTTAAATTAGCTGTGTGGCAAAAACTTGCGCTTCTCACAAGATCCATAACTTTCGAAGTCCTTCTCATAAATGACAAGGAAAAATATTATCATGTGTTCGGCATGATTACGTCATCGATGTAGCAGATTTGGCAAATTCGATTTGCGGCAGTTGTCGATCTTGACCATGCAAGCAACAAGAGTGATGTTGTTCCCGTTCGCTGACATTATCCATTAGTTGTCGTCCGGTTTTTGCATCAGTCTCGCCCAAAATCTGCGTAATACGTGAATACGTTACTTAGTGAACACGCAGCACAGCCGGAAGGCAATTTTTTAACAGTGATTTTTTCGAATTAATGCGGACACTGCTTTCCAGTTTTTGCATCCGAATTCTCCTGTATATCAAGATTATTATAAGTAAGTTTAATATGTCATTTAAGGCGTACATACTTGAAAACTTGCCCTTTTCAGAAAGGCGCGTGAACGTAAATGTTGAAATGAAGCAGCGACAACGCCAACCGAACAGCGGTTTCTAGCATGCTAGCAAAGCACGGTCGTGACTTACTTGTAAGATAAGCAGTTTTTGAGAATTTTCTAGTAAGCAGTGCAGTATGTTGTATTGTGCACATTTTTCGGCTGATTTCCTCATATTCGCTTCCTCCCATAAGGAGCCCAAACGTGCAGTTAATCGGTTCGTTTCACAAGGCGATTAGGCTAATGAAGATACGGCTCATCGAAACTGGCTTTTCTACTGTTAAGACGTGTCACTCATTATGTTCAAACTGTAACTAAGGCTGGTGGAGATATTTTGCATCTCAGTGACAAGTAAATAAGAGGTGCAATTAGATTTAGAAATTTTACAATCGAACGTGAAGTGGGGTACCTGCAAAGGTTCGCTAAGGTGACGGCGCTCGACCAGCTTTAGAGCATCATAGACTGGGCACCGTGATTTGTGGACTGCAGCTTCTCCAGATTAAAATTGCCATTGTTTGAATACGTGCTAGAAGAGAGGCTTCCAAATCCAGGAGGAAGACGGTCGAGCTCCGCCTAAGGGTCATAGGGTTCGATTGGATGGAACACCTGAAATTGTTGTTCCTTGAAATGCAGATCATTGAGCTAGTACGTTTAGAAGTATCGCAGGCATCCTGTTACTAGTGCCGTCACGATTAGCAGATAATAATGCGGAGATGTAAAACTAATGGCCACAGGTCAGGTCTAAATTTATCATCTTGGTTAAAGTTGAGGTATAACAGAAGCTCTAGCTTTCAGTGTGTACTTGGTGGTACGCAAGTTTTATTGCTTTCCACACAGAAAGTTGACAGCAGCAGTGGCGATATCTTAAAATGTCGTCAGTCAGGTTTACTGACTTGTTCAAGAAATAATCCTATCACCATAGATTATGAGAGAGATGAAACGGTCGATCCATCGTTAAAAACTGACAACTCGTTTTGTCAAAGCAAGCCCTGATCAGTTTGCAGATGATTGGTAATTTTTTGAAAATTTTCAGCTTATTAATGTGCATGTTTTTATCTCCAAAGTACTTCCACCTTTAAACTTTCTGCTCATTAAACGATGAATTTATTGATGCCTAAAACAGTTCACATAAAGGTATTGGTTCGATATAACGTTCTGCTTTATTCTTCCGGTCACCGCATTTCTGAATTCACCGCATATTGCGCTAGCTCTTTGTTCAGAGTTGCCCAGGGTGGTCATTTAAGCAGGCCAGAGTTCCAATGTGTTTGGCCGCCAGCACGGTTAGATGCATGTCGCTTCACTTTACTGGCAAAACCATTACCGCGATCGTCGTTCGAGCAACGGCATTCTGAGGTAATGCAAATGATATGATATCCGTCTAGCTGCGCTGTACATAGATTCTAGGCATGCAGAAGCGCTAAGCGCTTCGCATACGGTGCAAAACGTTTTGAATTGAAAAATTATTTTCGGTTCCAGGCATTGAGAAAGATACACGATGTGGAAGATGCCAGTAAAGTAATGAGGAATAAGGGATGAAACTGGCATTGCAGATGTGTATGTGTCATTGAACCATGGCCTGCTTCAATGATGATCCCCTTTCATTGCATTCAGCTGGGTCAGTAGAAATGTGCAATTGGTCAGCAAGCCATGAAAGTTGGTGAATCGATTGGACGTGTTATATTGTGGAAATGAGGAAGAGTTTGAAAATAAGGTCCGGCTTCCAGTGTGAATAGATGCAAACACTGGTTCTGCCGATGGTGCTCCACAGCTGGAGTGTCAACCGGCATATCATAATTGCATACTCCGTTACTGTTAGGTAGAACAGAGGTAGATTTAACAGACCAAGGCTCCATTGCAGTGTCGCGTCTGTTGTGACGTTCGGCTGGCAGAGTGATGGGATTGCGTCTGTGCAGTGCACTGCTCTAAAAATCACGGAACCATGGACGCTTAAATTCACTCTAGGTTCTAACGGCAATGACGCTGCGGTATGACTTGCAATCCCTGAGAAATGACGTATAACATATGTTTGAATTGTGTTGCGAAATTACATCGAAATACCATAAACGCGGATTTCCACCAGACAATGTCCAGAAATGGTATGACTGTGGTTAATATGTATATATAACATAACGAGGATCGAAGATGTGATTGAATCTTTTGGCCGTAGTACATGGAGAGAAAATAGTACCATTTTGAACTGCCTATCATGAGTCGACGATTGGGTGCAACGAAGTCTGTATCACCATACTTTGTAAAAGTGTATCAGCGATCACTGCTCTGGAAGTCTGCAGTCTTTCAAATTGCTGTGGTAAATATTTGAAAAGTTTATCGTTTGGCTGTGGTGTGTGATTTTGCGCCCATGTATTGTAAGGTAAGCACCGATCGAGAAAGCGATGAAGTGAGAGGAGCAGCCGCGAAGACGCCGCTTGTGTTTGTGTAGCGTTCTTGCGTCGTATTTTCTGCTTGATGTATAGCTTCAACATTTGCATCCTAGGCAGATGCTCATTGTCGATGTGATTTTTTGATTCGTGCCCTACTTAAACTACCGTACAAGCCTTCCATTTCTTAGGTGAAATGCTGAGTGCCGGCTTGAGGGTCAGGAGGGTCGCTGTGCGCTAAATTTTGGCTATTTGTTGGCCAAGGTGTTGTCCGTTAGGAACGCATTCCGTTCTTCGTACTGCCCTCATGCATACTCGCTGGTCACTTGATTTCACGTCTAACCGAGAAATCGATGTGTTGTCGGTTTTGAACGGCACAGCGTTGTGATGCGGTCGACGAGCTTGATGCGTTGGCGTTGGCCGTTCGGACTTCAGCTTCTGGACGTTGGTTTCGTGGCGATGACCATTGTCCACTTAGCTTACAGGCGATGCAGCCGTTCGACTGCTAATCGGGCGGTTGGTTTTTCGAAGTTTCACCGAATGCCGCACGTGGTTCGGTGCAACGCGTTTTGGACGATGTGTTTTCAAGGCCGAACCAGCCCCTGCGTTGGTTGCGTGTCATTCAAGTGCAACGGAGCGATTTTCGGCGCCTGAACTTTTTACAGAGGTTGCGCAAAAATAGCCACCGTCAGCGAGCAGTTTGCGTTTTGAGCTCTGAGCTTTGGTGTGTGGCTTTAAGAGCGGCGGTGGTCGCAGTTGTGGCTATTAACTGAAATGGCGACCGACGTCGTGTTCGCATCGGCCGTCGTTGCCATTGGCGTTTTGCCGCACCGTTTCGCGGCGATACCCGGATTGACCGAGACTGACCATTGATTGACTGGTGAGTAACGCACGAGCAGGGAGTGTTGAGTGTGTTGAGGGAGTTAAGTTTGAGTTGAGTGTTTAGCCGGACGCCCGACGTCCGGCTGAATGATTACTGATTGGCTAACTGACTGACTGACTCTCACGTTTTGAGTGAGCGACAGTGCGAGAATGTCGTTGCGATGATTCACGCACTTTTAATGAATAATTAGGCGCGTTTTTCTGGTCGTGCAAATTTCGTTATGCGGCCTTAATGCGCGGCGCGTGTGCGTCAGGAGGCAGTCGGATGCCGGTGTTGGTCATTCGTTCGTTTGATGCGACTTTGGCGGTTCGGTGACTGGCCGGTGTCCTTCACCCTGTGCTGACCGATGTTTGTTTGATGACCACTTGCATGAAGTGGTGGCGCCACATAAGGAGAAGAGTGATGTGGTTCGATGGCCGATGGCCGACGGCCGATGAGCGATGGTCCGCGGTCGACGGAGTCATGGTTGGAGTCGAGTCAGCGCGTACGAAAATATCTTGGCCGAGGCAAGTCAGCCAGTGGTAGCTTTTCGGCGGCTCTCGTCACTGATCCGTTCGACGCCGATCGGCGGCGGCCAGCGAGCAGTTTCTTGGCCGTGCGCTTGGCAGTTGTTTTTTCTACGTTTCTCGGCTCGGCAATGAGTGATCAGCGAATGTGATCGATGGACCAACCGACCGGGTCCGACCGACCGACCGGCC